CCCAAATTCCCCCCATTTTATTCCCATTTTTCCCCCATTTTATTCCCAAATTTCCCCCATTTTTCCCCCATTTTATCCCAATTTTCCCCCCATTTTATTCTCATTTTCCCCCAAATTCCCCCCGTTTTATTCCCACTTTTCCCTCTATCCCCAGACCCCTCGGACCCTTCGGAGCTGGAATTTTTCCCTTCCCTTTTCCCGACCTCCTTCCCAGATTTTCCCTCTCCTCTCCTCCCTCCCGTTGGAATCCAGGCTCTTCCCCTTTCCCAGGATTCCGTCCGAGTGTCCTGGGCCGACAACTCCGGCCCCAGAATTCCCAAATTCCCGGAAAATTCCCAAATCCGTTTCTACACCGTTCGGTGGAGGAGCAGCTACCCCGGGAATTCCAAGTACAAGGTAAGAAATTCCCAAGTTTGCCCGAAGTTTTCCAAGAAATTTCTCAATTTTTGGGGATTTTTTTCGTCAATTCCCAAAAAAAATTCCCATTTTTTTCCCATTTTTTAGGAATTTTCCCATCAATTCCCAAAAAATTCCTGATTTTTTCCCATTTTTCTTGGAATTTTCCCATCAATTCCCACAAAATTCCCAATTTTTTTCCCATTTTTTGGGAATTTTCCCCTTAATTCCAAGAAACAAAATCCCATTTTTTTTCCCATTTTTCCTGGAATTTTTACATCAATTCCCCAAAAAATTCCTGATTTTTTTCCCATTTTTCCGGAATTTTCCCATCAATTCCCAAAAAATTCCTGATTTTTTCCCATTTTTCTGGAATTTTTCCATCAATTCCCACAAAATTCCCAATTTTTTTCCCATTTTTTGGGAATTTTCCCCTTGATTCCAAGAAACAAAATTCCCAATTTTTTTCCCATTTTTTTGGAATTTTCCCATTAATTCCCAAAAATTCCTGATTTTTTCCCATTTTTCTTGGAATTTTCCCATCAATTCCCCCAAAAAATTCCCAATTTTTTTCCCATTTTTTCCCCCATTTTTCCTGGAATTTTTCCTGGAATTTTCCCATCAATTCCCCAAAAAATTCCCGTTTTTTTCCCATTTTTCTTGGAATTTTCCCATCAATTCCCCCAAAAAATTCCCAATTTTTTTCCCATTTTTTCCCCCATTTTTCCTGGAATTTTTCCTGGAATTTTCCCATCAATTCCCCAAAAAATTCCCGTTTTTTTCCCATTTTTCTTGGAATTTTCCCATCAATTCCCCCAAAAAATTCCCAATTTTTTTCCCATTTTTTCCCCCATTTTTCCTGGAATTT